AAGTGAACTAAAAGGACCTCTAGTTCATCTTAGAAAACAGCAATGATAATTTTTTTTAAAGAAATAACTTTAAATTCCTCAGTTCATTCCATAGAACTTCAAAACCTCACTTTAATTCTGATTCAGGATATAAGTCCAAGTCTGGTCAAAAGACCGGTTTGGGCCAAATTCCAATTCAGACCGAAAATTGAGTTCTTCAAATCAAAAGCTCCGTGGAATTTCAAAATCTCACGTCACGAAACCTCTCACTTTAACTGATTCCTTGGCATTTTCAAAGGTAAAATTAATTTCCTCAGTTCACAGTTTTATTCAGTTTTACATATATTTTAAACAGAATTTAAAACAAAATTTGTTTAATTTTCAAAGTTTTTAACTTACTTTAAAATGTGTGTGTGTGTATGTGTATATGTATATGTGTGTGTGTGTGTGTACCTATTCGGCAATCATGTTAAAATCTAGAGTAATGAAAATTGCTTTCTGTTTCAGAGACTTGTATGGTGTCGACGAAAACGGAGAAAATCTACGGATACAAGTAACAACGTTGAGTGTCTATTTGAAATGGAACGTATAAGGTTGACTTGTATGAATTTGGGAGAGATAAATGTCGACGACCTTGAAGCTTTAACAATAACAAAGTGATATCCTATTGCAAAGTCGATGGAGGCTTGACCTTTTTGTTTAGGTATGTATTTTACTATTAATATCGCATGTTTATTATGACACGGATTTGTGCAGACAAAACAGAAGTTGCCCGTTTATTCACAACCCACATACACACAAACATAGAAACACATTAATATATATTCAATTTTTCCATTGATAAAATTAATACGTAGGAAAATTAAAACAATATTGTTGTGAAACGAGTAGGCGATTTTAAATAAAGCTTAGAGTTGAACTTATCAACTGACAAGATCGGTTTTGTTGGTACTCTTATTTCTTAAGTAAAAGGCGGGGTTTAAATAAACGTGGTTATAGGGAATTATTCAAAATTTAACAAACGCTGGATTGGTAGAATTAATAGTATTTGAGAAATTGCTCTTGACCTGGCGGCTCGGCTTCAGTCACTTTCCCACCACCTTAAGGTTGCGTCTCTGTGTCTTTTCTATAAATACTTTCATGGTAATTTCTTCGAATGAACTGTTCGCTAATGTACCAAACTTTTTCATTTAGCAGAACTGACGTCGGGATCTCATTAATGTAAGATTGACTTGGCTAGATGTAGCCGTAACTTCTATACTAACAGTTTATTTTCGCACTTCACGTTTGTGAAACTCCTTTCCGTCTCTCCGCTAAATGCAATGTCAATCGCTATCTAACGCCCTTCTGATTACACTTTTTGTTCTCGCTCATTAGAAATGTTTCTATTTCTAATTCTTCCACACCCAGTAACCCATTGTGGCTTTACTGGCTTGCATGGGGTGAACTAGATTATTTACCTACCATTCATGACAACGCCAGAGGTCCACGTCTTTTTATACGGTTCATATCGACAAAAAATAATAATTTATATAGTTTAGAGCAGAGAAAAAAATGCACCACGCTTGCGGCTGTGAATATCAGCTCATATTTGGAGAAGATAAATTATAAACAAGCCATATCTCTGTAGCGACGTAAAACAAAAGTTACTATTACATTCTTTTTGAGGAAGAGGAACAAGATAGCATTGTGGAAGACAACGACATCAAAGATTACGAAGACATTTACTTCCCTGTCAATAGAAATAAAACTGTTTTTATGGACAGCAGTTGGTTGGATGATTTTATTTAGCGGGATGGGTTTTTTAATGCTTAAATTTATATACTTTTTATTTATTTATTTTTGGAGATAATACTGCTTTTAATCATACAAGTCTTACTAATTAAGCCATAGCAGGGAAGAAAAGGTGGATTCTTACCTTTAACATGGTTATTTGCGCGTGGGAGAATATACGAACAAAGCAGGAATTCGAACTCGGCTTTCTAACAATTCCAAGACTTTATTCTCACATCCAAACTTACAGTACCTGGTATTCCCAACTGGTCCCTCATGTAGGCATTGAGTAGCTTAGACGTTGCTTAACTTCGGTGATTGTATCGGAACCGCTGTTTTAACGTGATGTGACCATCCAGGAAGTAGATTAAGACATACTTAATATCTATGTAAATATTATTTATAAAAATTAATTTAATTAGTGATTTAAATTAGTAATTTAGTAAGTTAATTAGTTTAATTTAATTGTCATTTCATAAGTTTAATTAGCCCAATATGAGTTAGGTTATTTAATATTTAATTTGTTCAATTAAGTAATTTAAACTGGTCAATTTAAAGTAGTTAACTGTAACACGTTTGCCGTGTTGATAGTACTTATGTTCGATCATATCTTTCGGAATATGGTGACAAACGTTGTCAGAAAACGGTAAATAATTAATTCTCGAATATAAAACAAATTTCCAAATTTAAAAGCTTAAAATCGGGAATAAAATAATTTGTATGATAAACGAATAATTACGGTAAATAATATCTGAGGCATAGTGGAGTAATGGATAGCTGCACGGATTGAGGAATCGGAGAGCCAAGTTCGAATTTCCATTATATTTACTTACGTGCTAATAACCAGCTATGGGTGAATAGCAGCATAGACCGAGTTCTGTAGCCTTGATTGGCAACTGGTCTACCGCAGAAAGAAATGGCAACCTACTGCGGGAAAAAATCTGCCTCATGAGTAATGTATTGAAAGATACATGATCGCCTAAGCGTGTATCACGCATGGCACATAACTGACTGAATATCCGACATGATACAATGCTCATCAGGCTGGTTTGTCTCTTATGAGAACTGATTTGAATTCATATTTAGATTATTATATTTTAGTGTATTTATCGATTTTTCTATGTCAGTTAAAACTTTTCAGATAATGGAGGCATAGATATATTACTTGTTTATTTATTTATAAAATACTGTTGTGGTCACACAATGGTTAACTGTCTGTTATTGGGAATGAACTTGTTTTTTTTTTTTGTTTTTTTTTATTGAATTGTCCAGAAATCCGATCTTGTGTCATTGTCATATTTCAAACAATATGCAAAAACAGCTTTCATCTATGAATGTCTTTTTGTGAGCACTTTCTCTGAATTAGCTGAAAAGTTGTCAACCATTATATATATATATATATATATATATATATATATATATATATATGGTTCGATAGATAAATTGTCGTCTAAGTAACTCTGACATCACATTTTTACAGATATATTTATTAAAAAATAGAAAATTGTAGTTTTCGTTTTAGAAATGAAGATGCAAGCGAATGAGCCAATTGGAGTAAAGTGCCATGCAGATTTAAATTTTTCCCACTTGTGACGAATGCAGCTATTGATTTTTTTGCATGCTAGCATGCTAGTTAATATTCGTGTCAGTCAGCTGTTGGCTCTCACGTTAGCCAATAGAATTTTCCTGCCTACTCGTGGCAGCCAACTATTGGCTCTCACTCTGGCCAGTAGAAAATAGCCGCAAACTACATGAAAACTGCCGTAGAAGCATGAAAAAATCGATTATTTCCACTATCGATGGGAGCTGGGAAATGCAAAGTCGGTGTTGCCCTTCTCGCTAACTTGGAGCATGTGCATGAAAATTTTAGTGCAAATCCGTCAAAAATTGCGGCCGTGTATTCGTTACACACCCATACACATCCTGCTTTTTATAGATAGACATAAACGCGAAAGTAATAGTATATATATATATATATATATATATATATATATATATATATATATATATATATATATACAAATTAATTAATTATATAATTAAGAAAGTGACAGCCTTAATTTTCCATGACTATAACTATTATAGAATCATTAGAATTATTATAATGATTATAGTCATGGAAACATAAGGTTGTCTATTTCATAATTATTTAATTAATATTTACTCTGGTTTTTACACTGAGCTCTCTGGATCACATCCTCTTTGGAATTATCACACGGATTATCAAACCCTTCATTAACTGATTATATATCCATATATATATATATATATATATATATATATATATATATATATATATATATCTTTAAATATTACGGACAGGGAAAGTTTTTATAAATGTTTTTAGTTTTTTCACGGTTTTTACATATTTCCATTTGGTGTGAAAAAGGGAGTACTAAAACTGTTCATATTGTTCATTGTCTCAAGTGCTTTCGGCAAATTCTTATACATTTTTAAGGGGGTTTTGTTTTCGTGTTGTTAGTTTCTTTTCATATTTTGACCGTGTGTGATATGTATTATTTGTGTGGATTCGAATTCGTGTATGAGCGAATTGGGCATGGCTAGTATTCGAGTGGCCGCCTTTCTATTTTTAAAAGACTTTCACCTTGGAATAAATGCCAGAGGACGCAGCTAGCGAATTGTTGTGATCAACGAAACAAAGGTGAGGACAAGAGTCCGGATCACAATAATGTGTAAAATGTCTTTAATCTCTTTCTTAAACTTTCTAATATACTGTTTATTTATTTATTGGAGGAGCTGACCCTTTCCCAGGTGTTTTTGATATGATTGTTATCTTATATATCTGATATAATATGTTAATTGATATGATTGTTATATGAGACTAATATATGTTTCTTTTTAGACAGACTTTAACATTTATAAATTTTAAATAAATATGGAACAGAATTACTTTCCATTTTTGTTAGAATTAAATTAGATATTACAAATTCAAAACCCGAAAACCTTTGCTCGAATTCTAATTCAGAGTGTCATTCTCTTAGATTGGTTGCCATTCATAGCTAGAAAATCCAGTCTGTCTTACTATTAACTCATAATTGGGTTGGAAGAAGAGATGTATTTATACTTTTCTCGATTTTTTACCCAACAGATAGAGTCTTTCTTTCTTTCTTTCTTTCTTTCTTTCTTTCTTTCTTTCTTTCTTTCTTTCTTTCTTTCCATTTTATTCTTTCTGTTTTCTTTATTTTCTTTTCATTTATTCATTCGCTTCACCCCCTACACCTTTTGCTTACGGCTACATCACGTTAAAATACCGGTGTCCATACGATCAGTGAATTTAAGCAACGTCGTACCTGGTCAGTACCTAGATGGGTGACTACTTGGGAATACCAGGTGATGTAAGCTTGAATGTGTGGGTGGGTGGTGTAATGGATAATGGCTTCGAATTGTTAATCGGAGAGATGAGTTCAAATTCCCGTTGGGTTCGTTATATTTATTTAAGCGCAAATACCATTAGGAAAGGTATGAATCCATTTCTATTTCCCCCAGGTATGGGTTAATTAGTAAACTTGTCTCGCTAAAACATTATTACTTAAAAATAATCTTAGAATCTAAAATTATTTTCTGGCTTTAAATAACCTGCAGAGGGTTGATAAACCGTAGAAAACAAATCATCCAACGCACATTCTCTTTTTCTTTTTTGTTTTCAAATTTTTTCTGTTCCATTTTCTACTATTTTTTAAAAGTTTCTCTTTTTTTAAATTTATTACAAGAGCTGATTATTTTTCACGTGTTATTTGATATGATTGTTATATCAGAATAATATATGCCTATCACCACTATTTAAATTCGGACTATGGTCCTCATCATTTTTTTGTTGTTATCACAACGTTCAGGTGTATATCGATCTGGGTAACGTATAGTGGATCCCGAACTGAACTCTTCTTTAATCTACAGGGGTTGGCTGTTCTGGTTCACTTGGCTATGTCTTGGAATATCTCGTCTAGTTCTTATTTTTTTAGTACTGATCAGTTATTCCTCACCCTGTTTCCACTGAGTCCAAGTACACACTGCCCAGGGCAGGGATTGAACTTACATTTACTATGTCACCAAATTCACGAACCAATACTATAATTCACTAGGTGAACTTGAAGCTTGAAACCTTGGGTTAAGGCTCAAAGTTCACGACAAGGAATTGTCCCATGTGTGTACTGGAATCAGTGGAAAAGTTCTCTACGGCATTTTATTATCTCGTAAATTTCTTTTATTTTCACCTTCATTCTCTTTCTTTTAATCTGCTCCTCATAATGTTGTTCATTCCTTCTCTTGCTCTCTCATTTACAAACGCTTTCTTTCTTTCTTTCTTTCTTTCTTTCTTTCTTTCTTTCTTTCTTTCTTTCTTAAACTCTCTCTCTCTCTCTCTGTGTTTGTTTGGCCCAGATTCTCTAAGACATGTCCAAGCCTGCCGATATAACGAATATTCAGTTTTATATTCCTGACTTGTAAAAGTACACAAGATCTTATTCATAGATCATCCTTCATTCTCCTTCTGTTCGCGTCACAGCAATTTGACCAACGTAGACTCCACTTCTCTTCCAATATACTCACTCCAGCACAAAAATGTCCTCACTCACCACTTTGTTTCTGTTTCTGAATCCTGTAAGCGATAAATATACTTTTCTCAACAATGCCTTGCCTGTTATTGCTAAGACAATCACCTATTGTAAATGTTTAATGTCTCAGGAGTCGGTCAACGTTTATCTACTGTCGACAAACCTTTGCCTGTTCTTGCTTAAAGTAGTCAATTATGAAAAGTAGCCAGTAGTGTTAGCAAACCGCTGGCAATTTCATAAAAAAAAAACCCCAAAAAAACCAACTACTACGCCGATAGAATCGATAATAATAATTCTTATATCTATTTGCACACCGGTAAGTTTTTTAAAATCTACATGACTACAGAATGTCGTTTTTTATAATCTAAATGACTACAGAATGCTCTTATAAAAGCGAAGACCTTTCAGATTATCTTAATCCGAATGACAACAGGACAGGGATATTTATAAAAGATTCCAAATAACTTACGAATATATCCTCTTAAAATGTGACGCTTTTAGTTTGAAGACAATCTGTATTTTAATATGTCTTCTACCATATTTTACACTGATCTTATTTCCATTTTAATATTTTCTTTTATTTTGAGGCAAAATAATTTTGCTTTGTGGAAGCTTCCGTAGATTTTTTTTCAGCAGGCTAATATCGAGGTTTTGTTAATGTATATATACAGATATGACCAAAATATATAGAGACTTAAATAGTAACAAATAAAAATAAATATTCTAACTTACTTCTCCTAATTATGAGTTTTGTGGAGATAGCATCCACATTTCAAGATCCTTGTACAAGGCCCGGGGGCCAATCGAGGTAGAGGGTTACGTTAAGAGATAGTTTATATGGATAGGAGAAGATAACCGGTAACTGTAGACTTGAAAAGGTTAAGATTGTAGTGATCGGGAAAACATCCTCTTGGGAGTTGGTTCCACAAAGCAGTGGTTCACTAGAAGAAGCTGTTTGAGTGGAACTTACTTCTCACCGATGAAATACGGAGGGAATGTGGGTGGGGTTGCTACAATGTGAGGAGTGGCATGGCGGGTTCTAGCAGGGAAGGTTAGAAATGGCGGAACTAAGGAATATTGTTCGTCTGAGCACTTTCCATAGAATTAGCGAGAGAACAGTGAGAGACTTGCCATATTCCCACCTGTGAAATAGAGATTGGAGGGTGGAAAATAATTTGTCACCCACATAGATTCGGAGACGCTATTGGACTTTATCGAGACTGGATAGTAAGGAGTGGCTGTTCCCACCCAAATATCTATTGAGTAATCCATTTTAGACATGATCTGGCTCTTGTAAAGTGTTGTACAGTAGTTTTCACAGTGGAGGCTTGTATTTCACTAAGTCGGTCCTAAATTAGGTTCGACGTACAAAAAGTTAGGAACTTGAAAATAATAGTTAATGACGCAGCAATCTAGTTGTGGTGGTTGATACTTCAATGTCCGACATCGACTGACTCACCAACTACACTGAGCCCTGGCGACTGCTACTACTACTACTTATTATCTGTGGGAGAGTCTATTAACAATAGAAAAGGTATTTACCGGTATAACATAAAGGTACACGATAGCATGCGAAATCAGGTACTTATTGAAACAGGAACAGGAAGCCGACCATTTTTTCTGCATCTTTAGCGATAAATCGTGTGTACGAGTTCAACTTGAGATCGGGTGTAAGTTCAAGGTCCAATAATCTCTTAAAGCAACCTCCGAGGGACATGCTACAGCACCTCTCCCCTTGCACTAAAGATGGTAGGTTGATACCAGTGTTGTTGGGGTCGCGTAGACTAGGCAAATTTTGTCATTGGTTTAAACGTATGGCATCCAACATTAAACTGATCTTGAGTTGTAAGTAAATACCATCAGGCACCTTAGGATATCGAATTAGAATCGAATTCAACTACATTTGAAAGCTTAGAGACAATCATTTCTGACTTTACTTTGTTTTTAAGTCACTCCTATTAGCCGGGTTAATTTAAGAAATTGGGATGAAAAGACGCAAGTAACAAACATCAAAATATAATATCAAAGAGTTTTGAAAAGTAACCAAATTAACGGAATTTGCAATTTAAGAAGGTAGGGCGTTCAAAATAATCACTGAATCTAAATAAAGTTTCAGAGCCGGCCATTTGAATTTTTCTTTAATTTTATTCATTCAAAATTTTGTTTCAAGCAATGCCGCTGGACGTAGTTTATCGTTATACCCAGGACTCTCTCTCTCTCTCTCTCTCTCTATATATATATATATATATATATATATATATATATATATATATATATAAATGTGTGTGTGTGTGTGTTTGTGTGTGTGTTTGTATATGTATGTGTATATGTATGTATGAATGAATGAATGCATATATTTACTTTCCGACTGTGGGTTTGTGGTTACATTAAATAATCAATTAATTAATTAATCAATAATCAATTAAATTTATAGCATATTGAATTTCTTTACCTCTTTGACATTTTAGCACATTTTAACTTTTCATAAGTACATTATTGTGATCCATTTGCTACACCTGCCAGGTACGTAGAATCATAATATATTGTGTGCGTTTTTATATATTATAACTCTCCTTTGAATGTCGTGATAATATCGAGATGCTTCTATCTACAACTTTTTGCAGCTTTTCCTGTTTGTAGTATGTCTAACAGTATTAGAAAGAAAAGTGAAGAGAATGAGACAAGATGGAAAATTTATCAATGAAGAATGAAGGAAAGACCAAACTGTATGTGAGGAAAAATGTCGTAGGATCTCTGAGGATAAGTGGGGTACTATAAATCAAATTAAATTACATTACCTCGGCGAAACGAGTCGTTAATAAATGTCCCACTTTGGCTCATCACACACACACACACACACACACACACACACATATATATATATATATATATATATATATATATATATGAGTTAAAGATCAAATGCAGATTAAACATGGATTTAAGTTCAACAGGATGATAGGATAAAGAAACAATCGGAAACGTTTATAACTGAAAGGTTTTTCACTTACATTAAAGCTTCTTCAGAGATTGGGGGAAAACTGACAAAAAGACAGAGGTATTTTCAATTTTGTTTGGATCAATTCTCATTGGTCTGTCATGTGTCACGTGCATGAAAACCGTAGATAATTCTATTCACTGCAAAACCTATCCAAATGCCGTCTGCTGAAGCTACCACCTCCCTGTTATATGTAAACCAAGAGTGAAACTATGAAAACTGAAGAAGCCTAACGCAGAACCCAAATTGCAATACAACAGACTTCTGAATGACCCAAAAACTGAAGGAAAATTAGGTGGATCGTGTGAAAAGAAGATAGGAAGGACAAAATGGAAATAGAAACTAGAAATAGGACACACTAAGAGAAGATTTAGTGACATCAGCAAACGACATCATCCCAAAGGAGAATGGACGAAAATGGAAAAACGAATGGATCACTAATGAGATTCTCGATATGATGCAAAGGTGACAGAAAACAGTGACACGACATGGAATAGAATACAGAAAATTCCAAGAATGAAATAAGAAACACACACACACACACACACACACACACACACACATATAAATATATATATATATATATATATATATATATATATATCCAAGTATAGGATTGCTGTATAGGTAATAAATTCCAATAATCAAAAAAATACTATTCTTAAAAGAGTCCTCAATACAGAGTAAGGAAAATATAATTTATACGAAAATTATAAAACAAATATGTTATAAAATCACTACCAAAATAACCATTTTGTTTCAATACTTCTGGTGTCTTCTCACGTGGTGGTG